AAGGACGCTACTAGGGGCTCCTGGCATCGCTACTAGGATGAAGAAGCTACTAGGGATCCCTGGCCTTACTACCACCAGGAGGAAGGACGCTACTAGGGGCTCCTGGCATCGCTACTAGTAACAAGAAACTACTAAAGGACGCTACTGGACGCTACTAGGGGCTCCTGGCATCTCTACTAGGATGAAGAAGCTACTAGGGATCCCTGGCCTTACTACCACCAGGAGGAAGGACGCTACTAGGGGCTCCTGGCATCGCTACTAGTAACAAGAAACTACTAAAGGACGCTACTAGGGGCTCCTGGCATCGCTACTAGTACTGTAACAAGAAGCGACCCCCCCAGCGACCCGACCCGACCGGACCCGACGGCGCCAGAGCTTGAAGTCTCTTGACCGGGGCTTCAAGGCCAGCGAGCAGCAAAGGCGCACGCGTGTTGCGGGGGGTGGAGGTTTGCCATAGACAGAGGCAGAGGCCAAAAGAATTCACCACATGTCAAGGATTGACAAGATGTACAATATAAATGTCACTTTAGTTGTAATATATTATAAATATATCGTATTGTATTAATTATACTATATGTTTGTTTTTGTATTTTTGGTACACATGTATCTATATATAGTATATACACACACTACAACTATAACTATACCCCATGGTGGAGGTACTTGCAATGCTCGAGGCTCCAAACAAAACTCACCAAAGGAACCCAAGTAGTAAGTAGTGAACGCCTCAAGCATCTCAATGTGAACCGAGTGGCACCCTGGTAGGAACGAAGCGGAGCCCTTTTTGAAGGCGAAGTCCTTTTGTCAGATACATCAGTGGTGAAGTTTCGATACATCAAATACATCAGATAATATCAGATACATTATTCACATGATACGTGAAACTCTGGCAGCCTCCAGTGATTGAACGAAAAGGCCAGAGATCAGCGGAGCCCGAAGGAACCGCGTCCCTTGGATGAAGGCCCCTTCGTGATCTTCGCGGGAACCTGAAGAAACCGCCGGAAGAGTGCCGATTCGGAGAGGTTGGAGGTGTCCAAGCAGATCGATGCCTTGGCCGGGTTCGCCCAGCGTGGGCCGATGGTGCTGGCACTCCATTGGGAAAAGCAGGGTCTGAAAAGGACTTAGCTCTGCTGCCGATGGGATGGTCAATTGGGGGGATGGTCAATTGGTTTGCCCGCAGAACACTGGGGTTAGGGTTAGGCCTTCTCAATCCGACAGTTTCCAATCCTGATGATGTGGAACGTTTGGCTGCTCCAACCAGACCGTCACTTCTCCAGTGTTGCCGACGAAGGTTCAATTGAGCTATGCCTTGAGGTGTTCGTAAGGCAATCCTGCCTGGAGCTTCCCGACAAAACTGATGTTCGTTCCCTGTCAACATCCACATGTCAACGACCGCGTGGTGCACCATGATCAGGTGCGTTGGAATCCAAGTGCCGAGCCCGCGAAGAAGCTGGGTCAGAGTCCCGAGGGAAGGAACCAAGGATGCCAAAAGGAAACATTTTAAGAGCCACAGCCAAATATTTGATAGTTTTGATATGAAATTGATTGTAGGTGACGGAAACCATGGCGATGTTTCTTCCTTTCAATGCAAGTGCCACTGTGCACTTTCCAGCCTCCTACTCACAAAGAATTGTCCGGCCCAATGGCTCAATGGTCTTGTGTTTGTCTCATCAAGTTTCCCCAAAAACACTATATCGACCAACCAAATGAATCGTGCGAGCGCTTCTTCAAGGAAGCTCCCGAGCTTCCTTGAAGAAGCGTGAGTTATCTTGCGTCCATATGTAGTAGGTTACTTGTAGGTACTAGCGACTCCCCAGCTTCTACCAGCTACCGACTCCCTAGCTAACCTACCTCACCTCTACACGGCCTACCCTACCCCCCCGGCTAAAAAAAGAGACATGATTCGGCTGGATCTCATGGCAGCTCGTTGAGTCGGCCTGGGCTTCTCATGGGCTTAGTTCGGGCCCGGTGCAGGGGGTCCAAATCAGAGATCTCGGAGGAGTGGTCCTGCAAGTGGATGCATTTGTAGAGTGTGGAAACACCGGTTCAGTTCATGCCAACATCTGGAAGACCTTCGTGTGCGGGTTCTGTAGGCACAAGCAATATGAGTTTGCCTGAGGGCTCTTCGTGAAAAGCATTCTCAACCTGCTAGGCGCCAGGTCAGGCGTCTGCGAATCAACACAGGATCGCTGATAGTTACTGTTGACGCCTAGTTCAAGATGCGCATAAATGGCTCTGATTCCTGCTCTGATTCCGTTGTGCACTTTTCTACGGAGGCACCAACTCTCCAATTCGTCCGTCTTTTGATGAAATTTCGCCCATTCCATTCCACCGCTGCCGCTGCCGTGCCCGGCTGTGGAACATGTGTCGCTGTGTTTTTCCAGCGAGTTCAGCCTCGGTGCTACGATCAGCTGCTCGGTGACCACCGGATGGGCGATCAGCTGGTGGGCGATCAGCCGGTTTTGAAAAATACACCGTTTTCTGACGGGTTTGGTGATGATAGGATGCATGCAAGCAATCCATGAGGTCTTCAGGATTGCTTTTGAGCTGATCGTTCTTTTTTGCAGGGCTTGGTTGTGTAGGGCACCCATTTGCAGTGAGAACTAACCAGAGGCCAACTTTTGTTCTTCTTCGGAAACAATGGCAGGCAGGAAGCCTTTCTCTTCATTGACCAAATAGTGAACAGTGAACTAGTGAAAAGCAAGACAGACCTTTCCACAGGATTTTGGCCGTGAAGAACACACGCAAGGTTCAGGGGAGCAAGTAGCAGTTGCCATGCATTGAACAGCAGGGAGAAGTTCAATGAAGAAAGGTCTCCAAGGTGCGTTCCAAGAGGTGGCACCAATTGTCAAAAAAGGAAGTCACTTCTTCGGGAAAACATGTCTTTACACAGAGCTAGAGAGCCAAGCCTTTACTGTATACACTGTAGTCTTTGTAGTCTTGTGTCGAAGATCACTTTGCAGACTTTGCAGTTGTGATGCTTGAAAGTTCCGCAGAAAAGAATTGACTCATGGGTTTCCACACCTTTTCCTCCTATTCACACATTTTCTTCGCACATCTTCCCTACACTTTTCCAAGAGTTGGCTTCAGCAGCACCGTTGGCACAGAGGCTCTGATTGAAGCCCATTGAAGTTTTGCGCGTCGGCTGCCTGCAACGTGATACTTCGTGATCAGATGCTGAAGCTGAAGTGCTTTGAGAAATGGAATGCCGCAAAGAACCGGGTAGTTTTTTCAAACGTGGATTTTGAGGGCTTACGGGTTCGACGGCTGGGACAACGCTTTTTGCTTTGGCCAGAAGATCCGTCCTCCGCCACTTTGTTTTCGTGAAGTCCCTTTCGTATCTTACTTGTGCAAGAATGAAGAAACAAGAGGAATGCGGGAATCATTAGAGGAATCCATACTGAACGAACTGAACAGCGGCCTGTGGAGTCGTTGTTCTGTGTCTTTTTTAATGGTGTGGGAGTCTTATCGCTTCATCCGCAATCATATTTTTTGAGCCCTGTTCAAGGTGCCATCAGAGTATGGAGAAATGTTGTCAAAAACGGAGCAGGATGGTGGTCTTCACGAGACTTTTCTGGCACACTACCGCGGCGCGGCGATCTGCTGCAAGTTTCTCCTCCCCAAAACAGTGCTTGGAGTGGTGAGGAGAGTTGGTGATGTTAGTGGTGTGGAGTGAGGTGTAGCGAGGGCGGTGTAAGCTTTTTGTGGACATGGCGAGTGGAAGTTGATTCTTACGGCCTACCAAGGTGGGAACAACCCTTCCCATTCTTGCCTTCCAGACATTCTCTTGAAGGCCCTGGCTGGCGAGCTCCCGCGCGTTTTGCTCGCGCGTGTTTGCTCCAACCGCCTGGCTCGCCTGTGTGCTTTGGGAACCACCTCAGCTGCATTCATATGGAGTTAGCAGTTAGTCATTGTGACTGAGGAAGCACCACACACTACACATTGAAGAAGATTCACCATTTCGGCTTGAAGGCTATCATTTTATGGATTGCATTGGTCAGACTGGGAACCCCTAAGTCTTAATTGGCATTACCACTCATTCACATGTTTTGAGAAGATTTGAGAAGAACAGTGTATACTGCAAACAAGAGTATACATCCCTACGACTAGTACATTAGCAGTTCAACTCAACTCAGTTGTGTGATGTTCCTTGTTTGTTGATCCCAGTTGTTGTACATGCTATTACAATAGTAGCTTTGCAAAGGTAGGACAGGTCGAGGTGAACGGCTAGTTATGGGCTAGAGGTGTATATAACAGTCCGAAACCCTTGAAGTAAACAATGTGATGGGCGCCGGGAAGTCAACTTAAGCTCCCTGCAAAGACCACAGGGCTCAGCCAGATGACCTGAACGCTACGACCAGAGCGCGCTCGCTAGGAGAGGTTGCCAAGGATTTACACCAGAGACAACCAAGGGTCAGATGCAAGCAGTGTGTTCTTGGTTTTTAGAAGACCCTGATAAAGGCACATATCCCTGTTGAAGCACCGTGGAATAATTACGCATCAGGGCAAATTTGGTATTGACTTGCCTGAGTGCACCTCAGCCCGAAGGGTTTAGTGTCAAATTAGTCACTTTTGAGGTTTCAGGGAGTCTTTCCTACTAGCCTATACTGGCATTGATTGTTTTCTTGTGATTTGACTCATTTGACTTGACTTGAAAGTTGCATCCGAGATATCTATGAATCAGGACTTTCCCAGAACTCAAGCTGAGTGATTTACGGCAGGATTGGTTTCCTCGAATCTCTGGACATGTTATAGATGGTATATACAGTAACTACGTCATATTCCATCAATCATTCATTACAACGATTGCCTTTCCTAGAATGGCAAAACCTAGCGCAAAGCTCAGGTACTAGAGACAAACCATGGGAAAACCTATCAGTTCTTTTTCGACTTGTCTGCACCGCACCGGTGAGGTTTCGCCACCAAGAAAAACTATGGCTCTCGTCGACACGATGTCATGGATGTCATCAACGGTCTTCGAGGCGTGCACGCCGTGGCCGACTGTGACACCGGCGGGTGAATGTGGCGAGCCGGACGTGCTGTAGGTGCCCCTCAAATTCACTTAATGGGCAAGGGCCAACATTTTTTCCCCAACTCATCAGCAAATACATGGTCCAGATTGTACTCAACTCCGATGACAAGGCATGAGATGTCTAACGCAATCAGAAATATCTGCAAGTTCACCTGAGGCCAGATATATATATATATAATATAGTTATTAAGTAAAACTTAGAACCTAGAATGCTTGCTTGCTCATTGTTGGCCATGTGTGGACTGGCTCTCAGTACATTCGTCCTTGTTTCTACTGAGCAGGAAAAGTTCAGCTATAGTTGCATACGTTCTTTCCGAGAAACTTCTAAGTGGGAGGTTGGTACATGACGAGGCGTGATTTGGGAATCTTCGGTGCCTACTGATCAAAACGTCACCCCTTAATGCATCACAGGAGCGTTAAAACCATGAAGACCGGAAGGATCCATGATGCCACCAGCATTTCATGTCCACATGCTTTCCTTATGCTCCTAGGAACAAGTGCATCGCTACTAGGAACAAGAAGCTACTAGGGGCTCCTGGCATCGCGACTAGGAACAAGAACTCATTAGAATTTTCTTTCCCAAATTTTAGCATTACCTCAGACTGCCCATTCGCGTGAGACCACTCCATGCAGGCTGTATCCCTCGTGTGGATGGAGCTAGCGATGTTCGGCGTGGCCGCGGTGATCTATGCAGCGCAACTTGGTGGAAGTCAGAGTTTTGTGGGTTCCATATGCTCCCAAGAGGAAGCTCCTTAGCCAGTTGATTCAGAACATCTCTTGTCAAGCTTTGTCTCAAAGGGATTGGTGCTCTCCAGATTCGTCCAGTTCGTTCGGATTCTTCAGGGTCACCGGCCTTGGTCTCTCTGCCCTCCACCGTCCTCGCGTTGCGCGTCCGTCCCCCCAGGGTCATCGGCCTTCCGCACTTCGGGCCCCGGGAACTCAGCCGGGTCGCGCGGAGGGGTCCGAGGCTGGACCAGTGGAAGAAGGACCGCCCCCCCCACCCCGGAGCTGGAGTATGAAGAATTTGTCTTTGTGACAAATTGATCAGTCATGACTTTGGCTTGAAACAGCAATACACACCTTCTGCTTAATGCAAAGACCCAGCAGCACGGTTCCTGTGCTGGTGGAACCACTCAAGCATCATCATAGCGAGATCCAAGACACTAATGAGTAGACATGAGAGGAACAAGCACCAATGAGCAATAGCAACACCACGCAAAATAGCTACTGTAACTGGACTTTCTGTCTAGAAACCACGTTTTGTTGGATAATTTGGGCTCAGACTTTACGTCCAGGCTGTCAAGGCCCCTCATGCCCCTCATCCCCGATAGACTAATACGGACCCTCGAGGAGCAACACCGCGCACTCTTTTCCTTAAAGGACAACATATGTTCAGGGATCTCTTGTCAGGGTCCATGCTAG